ATTAGTAATGTGAAGACTTGGTAGTCAACGTGTCTAAAAATAAATACAGTAACCGAATAAGCTAAAATAAAAAATTATTTTAAGTAACATTGATAAATACAGTTACATATTTGATAAACGTTTATAAATCTAATTTCAATAAACTGAGTTTTCCTTTTTAATAAATATTCTATCCACAACGTCTTGGATTTCTACCGTATATGTTCAGTGTTGGAGAATTTCGAACTAGTGTAAAATCCAATAGGTTTCTAGATAAAGTTTATTTGTAATGAAAGTTGCATAGGAACTATATCATACAAATGACAAACCATTAAGTGATAACCTATTAATTATTCATCCAGTCCTTTAAGTTCCGGACGCATTGCATCGATGAGAATGAAATTCGATCACTAGTGTAAATGACTAGACATCGTGTTGAATTTTCCATTGGTTGTAGTTAGTTAATCAAGACTGAAATGATTAGACAAACATAACAATAGTTGCTACCCAGTGATCAATCATTTGTAAGCATCTTATTCCCACAAGAGGTTCATTGAGCTCCAAGTGGCTCAGTACGAATATCTGAAATTGTCAAGCTGAGTGATCCGGGTTCATTTGCTTTAGGACTTTAAGTAACCTATTTTTATAAATACAAAATAGCCCGAAACATAGGTGCTACGTTCATGCCACCTACTCCAACCAAACAATAATACAAAAATATCAGTTAATTATCTTTTTACATTTATTTTACCGAACTCTATTTTCCTATAGGTAAACGTTGTTCATTATGACAAATTTATCAACAATATCTTAGATCATGATTGCCTTTCTTGATCATATCCAACTGTTACATAATTTGTACAATGTAAGTATTATCAAAAGACTGATAGTTTTCAGTTCTTAATGATTCAGTCACTAAACTTCTGTTAAAAGGCATAATGAAAAGTAAATCTTGATTACGTAATGCAAAAGTATTTATATGAACAATCTAATGATAATTGTATTTCAGTGTTTATTTACTTTGCTGTTACATAAATATTAATTCAGCTTATTCTAAGTTCCCATATTAAATTCTATACATAATCTACGAACGAGATTACATAATTAGAAGATTGTTTATTGTTGAAAACTTATTACTTGAAAGAGGAATCCTTTGGAGTGATGTGTCCACAGTTTATTAAATACTCCTATATAGAACTAGTAATTGTTTTACATTCACCTTTTAAAAGCTAAGCCGTATAGTGTTCTGAGATGCGTTTGGAAAATGATCGCTTTGTGCGGCCTATGTAATCTGCCCTACATGAGCAAGTAAATTTATAGATACACATTGATGTGGCCCAAAGCAAATGTTTATCCTTAACACATCCAAGAATGGTAGGCCGCACAAACCGATCATTTTTCAAATGCATCTCAGAACACTATCGGGCTTGGCTTTTAAAAGATGAATGTAAAACATTTACTTATTACTTGATTATATTATGAATTTTCTCGTTATTTAGCACTTAAAATACTCAAAAATTAACTGGAAAATAGAAGTTTATTACACACATTTAACAACAATACAGAATCTAAAATTGATTGATAACTTAATGGTCAGTACTGTCATATTTGTCTAATACTTTAGTACTAATCAAATTTTATCGATTCAGTTGCAGTAAAACCACTCGTATGAATAACTTGATATCATATCCCTTTATGTCTAAATCATGAATTATTGGATTTAAGAAGCTTCTTGCTGGTCATCTTCAGTCAACTAACATAAACGGTCTTTTCTCATTGACTTGTTTACAATCGAAATTGTATACGATCAATTAGATGATGTAATGTATTTGACAACAATGGTGATTAAGTAATTACTCAGAGAATATATTATCTTCAGCTCATGAATCAATCACATTTTTCATAATTAACCAGTACATATTATTAACAAGCTTGTTGCTATGTCAACATTTACATAATTAAAAAGAAAAAGAACAAACTCCGAAATTCATATTTACGTAGTTATTTATTCATTATGCATAGATGATGTCAAATAAAACAAAAAATTATATGAAACTGTTAATGATTATTGCCTATTCTTTATCATTTTTATTCATTCATATTTGAGTAGTAAGTTGTTCTATCTGTCATTACGTTACTTTGTGTACCTTTAAAAAAATAATAAAAACAAAACAAAACAACGTCAACTGTTAATTTTAGTAAGTTACAAAATCAATAATTAATGTAACTAATAACACTATATTTCACATTATGGATTAATATTAGGTAGGAAACCATTGAAAACTGAGAAACAATAGGTAAGTGTTTCATTCTAATATAGACCTTCCCAACATTGTTCATATGTATATATACAACATCCGTGGTCGAACCCATGACCTTCATTAATAATTTATGTGTGTATATATCTCGCCTTATCAGTTAAATATGCCATTCAGAAAAATATCTTGTTTAATAGTTTGTTGAGTTAATTTAGTAAAGAGAAGCTAGAATGAGAATAAGTTTACCAATGACTAACTTGGTTGTGATACTGGAAATTCAAAAATTTAGGCTTTTTAATATGTTTGAAATTGTTCATTAATACACGTATATAACTATTCACGGAAGAATGTCATCAATGTTCATCATCATTGATGAATAACTATTTCACTAATTACTTAGTTAATTTCATGAATCCTAGTTTTCCTACTGTTATGGTGTGTGCTACTTATATTGACTATAAGTAGTATATGATGTTAGTCGTGAACAGAAGGTCTGGAAGCAGAGAGACAAGAAGGTCGAACAGTAAAGAATGGAAACAAAAAGCAATTTCTATGAAAATGCAAGAACAATGAAGTCGGAGTCATTATGAGACAAGTGATGGACATTTTGCAAATTACATATTTACTATTTGATTGTTAGATTTTACTAACAAGTCCTGTAATTTTGTGTTAAATACATTCGATTGTCCCCACTGGTGTTCTTGTTCACTTCACTGTTACTCTGAGAAATTCATGTCAATGTCAGTTTTCAAATGTATTCCGTTTAAGCATTATATAATTTTACATGATAAAACTACAGTACTGATTTGTACTAAATTCATGTCTTTATTCTGACATAGAAAACTGAAGATATTTATGTAAGACTACAATTTATTGACGAATCATTCAGATTTAGGATAACAGGTCTTGGATTTTAGGCGCGAAATTCACGCATTCATTCGGTTAAATATGAGTTTTACCATTTTACCTGATGTCAGTTCGTGATGAAAAACCTCAAATCTAATTCTTAACCTTAACCATCAACTGTGAATCATAATCCTTATTTTTCAAACTACTTTATAAACCCTCATTTAGCCCTAATAAGTAGGTAGACACTCTCATGGTCACTTTAATGTCGCTCAAAGATCGTCCATAAATTATAGTCTCACCGATACTTGTTTTCATTTAAAACTTAAAGTGTTACGAATTGAATTGATTGTTTTGAGAAATATTTTTTCAAGTTTTCATGTGGAGCATTATAATTCAAGATCAGAGTCTATTTAAAACTGTTGAAATCACGTAGTAATACAGTTTGATCATTTCATTATACACAGTATTTTGATATAGTAGTTTAATTGATAAAGATTTGTATTTGTCATAAACAACTAAGTAGGTTTGTAATTATTGATAACATTTTCGAGATCAAAGAATCATTTTATCACTGAAGAATAATTTTGTTTACATCATCATAGATTTTGATGATGAGATAGTTTCATGTCATAACATCAGCTAACAAAACATACTACAGTTGAAATATTCTATTATCATGAAAGCAAGATTCGTGATTGTTATTTGCAAAGACAGGTGTACACTTTAAATTTTATTCATATCTATGAAATAGTGTATTACCACAGTGTTATATATGCGTCTGTTAATAGTTATACTTGAAAACGAGGTATCGCTACAATTTCCAAAACTCAAAAGTAAGAATAAGGAAGACTGATACAAGTGAAGATTTATTTTACCTCCAAAACATGATGATCACTCTATTCAAATATGCACTCATACACATATTGATTTTTGCACCTATTAGATTATTGATTAGTAAAAAGTTACATATAGTAATTCATGGCAAAATCGTATGTTGTATTTCATGCCGAATATAATTAGCGTTAATTTAATACAGGACTATCTTATCTTGAATGCTTACATCACACTGAAGTAAATCAATATTATGCTGAACAAAATAGCACACTGAAAATAAAGCAAATTCTACACCAAATGATCATCATATTGAATTGAAGAATGAAACTAATGTTGGACATGAATCATAATGAGTTAAAAATGTCATTTTGCTTTTTGATACCGTCGCATCACACAGAATCATTGGTAAGCATAACCTAAGGTGTGTTATTATTCGATCTAACGATTGTTTCCAGATTTTGTTGCACAGTAAAAAAGATACAATTCTTATGAAGATAAAGTTTTTATGTTAAAAAAGGATATAGTCACGTAGTGCTATGCATTGGCCAATCAGGTGACAATCAACCAGTCTAATATGGAGGTCCACAGTTAAAGCAATCTTTGAAATAACATTACAACTGTTCAGTCGTTATTTTATTTATTTATTTGTTGAGTTATCCATTGAACTGCATGTGGGTAAGTTAAATCTTTCTCACATGCCAAGTTCAATGAAAGTAATTATTTTCTTTATCTGTGCCTTATTTTACCACCTTGTTTAGATATATTTATCAGTAAGGGCTTGTGGAGATTGTTGAGCTTAGAATGATATCATGAATGAATCAATATTGAGTCACTATTGAAAACCTGGAAGCAGTGTTTGACGGTCGTTTCATCTTAGTATGAGACTTCCCACTAGTACACATCCATGATCCCGCACACGGGATTTTAATCCGTCTCATGTGCGAACGCCTAATCTCTAGACTACTGAGCCGATCGGCATCCAACGGTGTTAATCTCCAACTTCAACTAATCCACGATATTGCGCCACCGTCCTCTATTGTCTTCAGCCAGTAACTGCCTCACAACAGGCATGAATGAACT